TGTGGTGACTGTGACAAGGGACATGTTGAAAGGGGTGGCAACTCACGGAGGTCCAGAGGAATGGGCTGAATCCCACAGGTCAAGGAGAAGACCACGACTGCAATTTAAAGCCAAATTTGAAGCAAACTTTAATTAGATCCTGGCCAGATTGATGGATTCTCTGGCCTGGTCCATACCCCGGTTCCCAGAAAATGGCCACAAGTCACACCTTGCAGAGGCTTAAAAAGGTTATCCCACAAGGCCCATCAGGTCCCATCAGGGCAAGTATATAGCCTTACATTTTTCCTGCCTACCTACAACTCTCCCGTCCTCCACCGTTCACCCCCTGCATCCAACCAGGGGTGAGCATACACCCTGATGTTGACTTATTTCCTGCCCACATACCTCCTGCCCACGTGTGATCAAACACATCAGTGCATAGGGGTCAAACAAACGTGTTGAGGGGGTGGAGACATAAATAGCCTCCAGCATTTCACTTGGGTTCTCACAGGACCAGGAAGTGGAAGGTCATGAAGGGAAGATGGAGGAAACAGCATTGAGATGAGCTTTTTAGGCGGATGACAAAAGAAAGCATGGCTACTACATACTTACCACCCAGAGGCCAGGCATGTTGTAGCATATTGTGTTGTGTTGTCTCTCAGATAATCGAGTGTGTGTTTGTGTGTGTGTGTGTGTGTGTGTGTGTGTGTGTGTGTGTGTGTGTGTTGTATACAAGGATGTGTACGTATAGCTGTGAATGGCCATGAGGGTCAGAAGTCGGCACAGGCTGACCTGGAGCCACCTTCTCAGCTACACTGATTGGCGTTTCTGCACAGCCTCCACTTCAGTTCCTGCCTGACTTCAGTTCCTGCCTTGCCTTCCCTCAATGACCAACCGTGATTAGTGTAAGCCAAACAGTCCCTTTCCTCCCCCAGTCCCTTTTGGTCATGGTCCTTTTCACAGCAACAGAAAGTAGACCAGAACAACCAGTGAGTCCCAGGATCCTCATGTGTCTGCTCCCACCCCACCGCCATGGATGTTAAAACCACACCTGGTTTTCACACAGGGGCTGGGAGCAGCCCTTCAGGCTGGCATAGCAAGCGCCTTCCTCACACGCTGAGCCAGCTCTAAACTCTACTTCCACACTCACAGGGTTTTATGGGGGGGGGTCTGTTTGCATTATCAGACAAAGAAACCGGGGTTCAGAGCCATAACTTCCTGAGAACTTAAGCTTCAAAACCAGAACAAACAAACAAAACAAACAAAAAACTGGTCGATTCACACAAAGACTTTATAAGTGCTTTGCCTGGCATGTCCACCAGGTGGCAGAAGGACCCCTCTGTCCCCACTAGGGCTCTCCCCCAAAGGGGTCCCAAACTGCAACCATCTTGCTCCCCAGCTCCTTCTTGTTACCTCCCCTTTCCTCTGGGTAGCTGAAGGCTCTTATCTGGTTCTGTCAGCAGATCCTAACTCCCAGGGACTGGTCACTCCAGGGGTCTGGTTGCCCTCTGTGTGGAGCTGGGTCCTCTGAGAAGCAGAGGTTGCACCAGTGTGTGAGGTTTGCCGTGAGGTGGGGCTGAGTTCACAGGGCCAGAAGTTCTTAAGCTCACGTCTGTCCCTGAGTGAGGGAGATAGGGGTAGTTAGTGAGTTACTATGGTATGGCCTAAAAAAGAAGGGAGGGGGTTGGTAAAACCTTCAGGGAGTCAAAATAGGCCATCAGAGGAGCCCTGTGTCTCCTGGGACTGGGCTTGTGCCCTCCTTGATTGGCTTCTCTGTTTCTGGGCCAAGAGCTATCAAGGAGAGTGTGGCTTCCAGTATGTTTACCATGCTTGGTCAGTAGCTCTCCCTGTAATTGGAGGTCTGTGATTTAGGTCTTCTCCTGGTGGCCCCCAGGCTCCCCCGCAGGCTCAGCTCTTGGGAGTGTCCACCGAGTGCTGTGCCTGCGCCCCACCTCTGAGCCCTCTGAGCAGACAATTCAATCCTTATCTCCCACTTCCTGAGTTGACCTCACTGCTTCTTGTCAATTCCTTACCCGCAGTCAGAGGACAGACTCCTCCCACCCTCTCTGAATGGGACCCTGCTGCTGGACGTCCGGACACACTCACCGAGTCAGCCTTAGCTCTCCCTTGCGTCTGCCTTTGCTTCTTGGTTACAGTCTTAACTGTGAATGCCTAGTTTCAGCCCCCCAACTCAGGCCCAGACACCGGCCTCCCTGGCAAGCGGCTGGTCTACCAGCATCTGGTCCCATACCCTTTTGAGGACGCTGGCTTCTCAAGTCCCTCTACCTCGTATCAGAGTCAACAATGAGGTCATTGCCCTAGGCAAGACCAAGTAGATGACAGGCAGCTGTGCCAGGTGACCCAGAGGGTGAGGTAATTACCGGGCATCAGGTAGAATATGCTGGCAACTGTCTGTGGAAAGAAGCTTGAGAAGAGAAGTTAGGGGAAAGAGAAAAATGAATCCGTGGACCGCCGTGAGCCCCCTCTGTGGGTGTGGGTGCTCTTTAGGGTGGAAGCTCGGTGGTGAGGCTGAGACCCTCCCCCTCCCCCAGAATGGACTCCTCCCTGCTGGTTCTTAGCTGGGGATAAAAACAGCCACTCTGGGCTGTTTGGTTTGCAGCTTAGCAGGCCACCTGCTGCAGCTTCCTAGCCTTAGAGCGTTCGTCAAGCCTCCACCCACCCATCCTCCCAGAGCCCGTCTGTGAGTCTCTAAGGCACTAACAGCCACTCCCCGGATCTCTATCATTCCTTTCTCACTTTCCCAGGGAAGTTTACAGATCTCGGGCTGCCAGACTCGGGCCATCAGGGAGCTCCGGCCTGTCTCCTGCGTGAGGGGTACATATCCCTGAAGCACACCCTTCCAACACAGGAATTCCCTCCTCGCCCCCCAATGCTCAGGAACCGGGGACAGCCTGGCTGCAGAGAGCTGTAGGTGAACCATCAACCGCGTGATCTGAAGCCACCCCCCCCCCCCCTTCTATAAACAGGGACACATTCTCTGCCTCACAGGCCTAAACTCTCAACACAGCTTCTTGACAGGCACCTCTGTTTACCTGTGGCCTTGGGGCCTGAGCTCGCGGGAGGGAGCCGCCATCCTGCTTCTGTCTATCTGTCTGTCTGTGGTGTTAATAACTCTCCTAATGAATCCTTTACCCAAAAGGACATTTTGCCTCAGTGTCCCCCTTGAACTCCAAACTCGGAACCTTTCACTGCTCTAACGGAAACCCAAGACGGCAAGAGCCTGTCTGAGGCAAACAGCATTGCAAGCCCAGAGTCCCTTTGGGAAGAGAGGAGGAAACAATGCAGGCAGGGCTTTGAAAGGAAATCTAGCCAGGCGCTGGTGGGGAATGGCCTGGCAGGCCCAGGGTCACATTCTCTTATGCCTTGGCTTCCAAAGTCAAAGCTGAGGGTGTGGGTATCTTGGACAGGGAAAGAGAGATCAGAACGAAAACAGGGTTGAACAGGGGAGGAAAAGACAGCTGTAGTTAGCCTGGGGGGGGGGGGGGGGAGGTCTTTCAAATTGTCGCTTACTTGGGGGCCTGGAGTGCCTCAGTGGGATCAACAGAAGCAGGACCTGGTCATTATCTTCAACTGTACTTAGCAGGTCTGTTCTGTGGTTTGAAGGAACCATATATCAAGCAAAATGTGCAAAGTCCCTGTTCCATCCCTCCACCTCAAGCCTGGTTTCTTGCCCTGTCCAATTTTAGGGGTTCTGCCATTGAGAAGGCCTCTCTCCCGCTCCCCTAAATTCCTGTCCCACTGGATAGGCTGTTTGCACCCTGTGTCACCGGATACTGGCCTATGTAGGTGGCTTTTGTGCTTTGTCCCATGTCTCTTAGACATGTGTGAGCTCCCTGAGGTGGCACGAGCTTGGCTCAGTTCCTCTGCACGGAGCAGAGCATCCGATGTCCACCGGGCACTGAGGAGGTCCAGTAGATGCTCAGGCCCGGGGGCGGGGGGGGGGGTGTTTATCTCGGCACAGAGCATGGGTTGAAAGAACCACAGACTCCTGGCTGGGAAAGTTAGATCATGGCCAGCTGCCCTCTGGACATCATAGCCCTGCTGTGGCCTGTGCTGTGTCAGTGCAAACCAGAGTGACAGCGGAACAACAAGGTTACTGCAGGATGAGGCAAGGTGGGGACAATGGGCTGGCTACCTACGCTCCTGTGGCAGCTGAGGCTACGAGAAGAAGGAAAGGCCATGAAAGGGGTGGAAGTGGCAAGAGTCCACCTGGTGGGAGGAGGGTAACAGAGGCCGGGATCTGTTTCTCACATCTGAGGGGGAAAGGGAGGTACTGGTTCCACACTCAGAGTGGCCAGCCTCTCTTTCCCTCTGGATTACTGCAAGAAACCAATGGGACCACTTCTCTCTAACCACAAAGACAGAGAGGCACAAGCCCCTTCTTGTGTCTCATCTTTGTCCCCAAAACTAAGACAAGGCAAGGACATTCCTTTCCACAGATGAATTTGTCACTGGAGGCCCTAGCCTGTGTGGACCTGCTCTCTGTTTTTTGTCCATACACAGCTTAGGCTGGCTCTGCAGTGGGGCAAGATCCTAGGCAAGTCTGCACAGGACAGAGGGAGTGACCTGGGGCCTGGGCAGGGAGGGTCAGGCCACAACAGAAAATGATACCAGTGGCCCTATTCTGAGACCTTTGTTCCCAGGTCTAAGCGGCAGAGGTTGTCAGCCCTTGATCACACACTTGGCTCCTGAGGCCTTGGTTGTCTCAGCCACATGCACTGTGGTCTACCACATTAGACCAGAGCCCAGAGAAAAGGGGTCACAGTCTAGCAGGGATCACTCCCTAGCCCCCAAACCTATGCTACAAACATGTCTATGTGCTGGGGACACACACACGGGGGGAGAGAGAGACAGAGGAGCAGCAGAGGAAAGGATAGAAGTGAGAAGGATGTTGGGGACAACTCCTTAGGCCATATGTGCAGACACATGACTGGTAAACATGAGCTTGAACAAGTTCATTGGCCTCCTCATCACTAGGGCCACACAATGAAAGACCATACTCTCTAGGCCAGGGTACCAAGTGTGCGTCTTCTCCTCTTCCTCCTCCTCCTCCTTCATCTTTACTTCATGTGAATCAGTGTTTTGCCGGCATGTGTGTCTGTGTGGGGTGTCAGTGCTCTTAGGGGACATAGTGTACTATCACATTAGACTCCCTCCCCACTGTGCCCTCTGCCACAAGAAAGCCTGAGAGTCCAGGGTGATGAGGGCAGTTTCTGCAGCTCTGACCTATTGTCCCAATGCCATGAGGCCATGCTCGGTGTGGATGGGGACATCCGTGAGGCTGCTTGCATAACAAGTCTCAGTGTGCTTGTTTGTTTAACAAATTGACACTTACTCTCAGCATCTGCAGTGGTTGAAGTGACATTGACTGAAAGGAAGTATTTTAAAGACACAGTTTCTGCATGGCACTTAAAGGCACACAGCCTTAATGGCATCTAGTATATTCACAAAGTTAATCGCAGCAGTCAGTCTTAAAATGTTTTTGTTACCCCACCCCCAAAGATGCCCTGCGTTTCCTAGACATCAACCTCCCTCTTCCACTACCCTCCAACCACTATTCTGCATTCTATCTCTATAATTTTGTTGTTGTTGTTTGTTTTGTTTTGAGACAGAGGTGGTGGATCACGCCTACAATCCCAAGTACTGGAAAGCTGAGGCAGGAGGATTACCATGAGATCAAATTCAGTCTGGGCTACAGTAATGAGTTCCAGGCGAGTGTGCGACTCTCAAGAACAAAGAAAGGAAAGAATAACATAGGGCAGAGGATGCAGCTCACTTGAGAGAGCGCATGCCCAACGTGTGCCAAGTCCTTGGCTTGATTCTCCATGTGGCACAAGCCGGAAATGACAGCCCTAACCTGTGATCCAAGCACTTGGGAGATAGATGAAAGAGAACCAGAAGTTTGAAGACTTCCTTGGCTATAGAGGGAGTTCACAGCACAGCCAGGGGTGCCTGAGACCCTATTTCAAAAATAAAATAAAATAAAACACAGACTTCTAATAATAATAACATGGAGCTCACATCTCTAGTACTTTCCCTTGTTTAAGTCCTAGCTCACGCAGCCTTGAGGTAGGTTGGAACGATAGAATTAGCTGTTACATGCTCTTACTCTGCAGATTACAGACCAGGCTGGCAATGAACTCTGGCCCCTGAGTGCTGGGATTTAAGGCATGCACCACCACGCCCAACCCAGGATTATATTCTGACATCATGACCTTGGAGTTAGAGAGACTGCCCAGTGGTTTAGAGCACTTGTCCCTCCTGCAAACGATTTAGGTTCGGTTCTCAGCACCCACAGGGAGGCATACAATAATCTGTAACTACAATGCCAGGGAATCTGGTGCTCTTTTCTGGCTTCTGAGGGCACTGTACACACGTTACACAATAGACATGTAGCCAAAACACTCATATACATAAAATAAGTCTTTAAAAAAAAAGACAAAATCAAATATGGCCTTATACCCTAGTTAGTATCTTCAGTAATCTGCTAAGCTCAGAGCTCTCTACCCTCTGAGCTCAAAGATTTCCTCTGACCTCTATAACTATAAAAGGATTTTCTTTGTTCTGTGGGCTGTTGAATCTCTACCATAGCCCAGGCTCCCCCTGCTGTGAGTGGCTGGCATTATCAAAGGACCTGACCACTTGAAGACCATCTCCACGCATGTTCCTGATAAAATAAATATTTTTTTGTGTATGGATATTTTGCATGCATGTATATCTGTGTATCATGTGTTTTCAGGGACAGCCTGGTCTACAGAGTTATTCCAGGTCAAAGATACAGAGAACCTGTCTCAAAAAGCAAAAAATAAAAGTAAAAATAAACAAAATAGAGGTTAAAATAAAGCGTACAAAGATGGAAAATACACAGAGAATTTTGATACTGTATGCTATTATGCTCTGTTTGAATCGTTTGAATGCTGAGGAAGGAGCAACAGCTGCTATATTTGTTTATAAATGCTGCTGAACTAATCCAACATAGATACTATGAAAATGCCTTGACTTTGAAATTTGGATCTAAGGACATGATGCTTTGGAAAGGAGTTTCTTATTTTGTTTTCACAGAGGATGAGACCCTGTTCATTTCTTCTATTCCGATTTGGTATGGTGGACCACACCCTCCTGCAGGGTTGCTGTGAACACCTTCAGAAAATTGCTTCGCTCAACTGCCAACTGAGAAGAAACTAGCACACAGGTCATACCATGAAAGACCTAATTAACGATGCCCCCATTCAGCAGGAAGCAGTTTGGAGAGAAAAAACTGCGCCCATGTTCCCAAATATGGTTTATAAATGTTCTTTTACATTTAAAGGGGGGAATATGATATAGATATGAATAATTTGCATTAGTATAGATTTTGCTTTATTGATAGAGATTGAAGGTCAATTTTGTTATATGTGTATGTATTTCTGATCTTGATTAAGGTATTGTGATTGGGTAGTTCATTTAAAAATGTAATGTATATAGGTTGCTAATGGATAATCATTAATAATAGTCAAGTTTATAGTTATGTTAGTTAGATTTTCTAGATATATAGATATATATTTCAGTTAGATAGGCATGTCTTTCAGGGTTCCTGATTCATGAAAGAGTCTGCAAGACATTCTTCAGGACAAGCAGATAGTGACTGCGTTTGAAATTTCCTGCTTTGTGGAAATGTCTGCTGGAAACTATGGGCCTGTAGGCCGAAGATTGATGCCCCAACGGTACAGAGGAACTTTGGGTGACTGTCCAGGCAGCAAGATGTCTCTGTCATTTCTAGAGTTTGAAAGTTGCTTACTTTTTGTTTGCTTAGGTAATATTGTATTCTTCTGGAGTCTTTGATGGAGTCAAAGAATAGTTATAGTTTTCCTTAGTTATGATAAACATCATTGTAATTTTTACTTGATAACTGTTTTGTTATATGTAATTTTGCTATGTTAAAGTTAAAGCCTTCCTTTTTTTATTTAAACAGAAAAAGGGGAAGTGATGTGGGAGTGTCATATATCAATCTGTTGATTTCATTGGTTAAGCAATAAAGAAACTGCTTGGCCCTCATAGGCTAAAACATAGGTGGGAGGAGTAAACAGAACAGAATGCTGGGAGAAAGAGGAAGTGAACTCAGACTCAAGAGCTCTGCTCTCTGAGGCACACCCGATGAAGCTCCGACCCAGGATGGACGTAGGCTAGAATCTCCCTGGTAAGCCACCTCGTGGGCTACACAGATAATTAGAAATGGGCTAAATTAATGTGCGAGAATTAGCCTAGAAGAGGCTGGATAGAAATGGGCCAAGCAGTGTTTAAAAGAATACAGTTTGTGTGTTGTTATTTTGGGGCATAAGCTAGCAGGCGGCCGGGGTGCTGGGGATGCAGCCCCGCTGCTCTTATTACTACACCTGAGTGAAGGCGTAAGTCACAAACAATGCCACACCAGTTTGGAATTATGATTAATAGGGTGGTATTTATTTAAAGGGGAAAAAACTTACAGATCACTGTCCCAGGCAACAGCCCTCTATGCAACCAGGAAGGGAGTCTAGTCGCTGGAGGAGCAGGAAGTGAAGAGAGAGAGGAGAGGGAAGTGGCCGCTTTTTTAAAGGGAGAGAGACCACGCCCCAATGGGCTGGTATCTCAGCAGCTATAGGCTGGAGGAGTGGGAGGATCTCCCGCAACACCTGAGGAGGCCAGAGAACGCATTAGGTCCCCTAAACTGAAGTTACGGATGTTTGTGAAGTTGACATGTGGGTGCTGGGAAGCCAACCCGGGTGTCCTGGCAGAGCGCCCATGCTCCTAACTACTGAGCCATCTCCCCAGCCCATGAAAAGAATCTCCAGTGTCAGCTGTTCATGGTGGCCCGTGCCTTTCAGCCCAGCACTCAGACATTCGGGAAGCAGAGGCAGGCAGATCTGAGTTTGAGGATAGCCTGGCCTCCCCGTGAGTTCCAGGCCAGCCAGAGCGGTCTAGTGAGACCCTATCTTAAAACAAAATCTTTAATCATGAAAACGTGTGGAGAAAGCACCCTTGTCTTTCCTTACTCTCTCTTTAGTCAGTTGAAAGAGGTGTTCCCTTGTTTCCAGTTCTGCTGCTCTGAACATTTATGGACGCATAGTCCTGCAGTATGAACATGTATTTGCTCATTTCTCTTGTGTATATCCATAGTAGTGAGTGTATTTTGACACAGTGGAGAGAGGAAAAGTTGGGAAAGCAGAAAATCGCTCTTAGCCATGAGTAGGATCCACTTGAGGTCTAAAATCAAGTGTAAACACTGCTGTGTTTATAGTTTGGAAAAGGTATAAGCTGTGTGGAGCAGGAATAGGAACTGAGGCTGGAGGATGACATTCAGTAAACTCACAGTGCTTTGAGTCCAGAATTCAGGGGCCTGGATAGAAATGTAATAATGCTGACCATAACTTTCTCAATATTAAGTAGTGTAAGCAACCTTTCTTAACGAATAGTTCTGTCTCCATCTCCCAGCTAAGGAAATCAAAGTTCACAGAATGTTTTGGTTTTTTTTTTTTTTTGGTTTTTTGAGACAGGGTTTCTCTGTGGTTGAATTGGCCCAAGTTTGGCTGGAATCTGGTAAATTTCAGAACAACTTGTTCCCTTTCTTACTACAACATGGTTTGACTTTGTTGAAACTAGATAAAAATATACGCTCATGTCCTGCTTGTGAATTCCGTCGCAATATGAACACACGTCAGGATCACCAAGGATTGTTCTGTTTTGTTTGAGATAGGTATAGCCTCAAACTTCTTACCTAGCTGAAGTGGACCTTGAACTCCTAACCCTCCTGCCTCTATCTCCCAAGTGCTGGAATTGCGGACATGCACTACCATGCCTGGCTCAGACAGATATTGTTGTTACTTAAATTTATTACATGTGTGTGCACTCGCACACGCTCTGTCTGGTTTATGTGGGTACTGAGTACTGGATACTGCGTACTGAGCACAGTGCTTTGAGTATGCTAAGTGACTGCTCTGTCAACCGAGCCCCATCTTTAGGCTTGAGATGGCAGGATAAATTAATTCACCAACACAATGTTTTTTGTATTGAAAACAAGCCCTAAGTCAATACTAGAAATGACA